CATGGAGCCTGCTTCTCCCTCTGCCTGTGTCTCTGCCATTCTGTCTCTCTCTCTGTGTCTCTCATGAATGAATAAAGAAATAAAATCTCTTTTAAAATAATAAATAAAACATTAAGATTGTACTTATTTTCTGTAGATATTTTATTTAACTTAGTTTTTAATTTTTTACTGAGTAAAATGTAGAAGTGAATGAACTTCTGTATATGTATACATCCACATAACTACTATCCAGATCAAATACAGAATATTTCAAGAACTGAAAAGGCTCCCTGGTGTACCCACTCAGTCAATATTCTTTACCCAAAAAGGTAAGCACTTTTTTGGACTTTTAACATCATCAATTTTGCCTATTATTGATTTCTTATGGAAATGTACTATATTCTTTTACATCTGGCTTTTCTGCTTAACATTATATCTGTGATATCCATTCATGTTAAATAGCTATAGTTGCTCTTTTTCACTGATGCATATATTCCTTAATTTATAACACAACTGATGGATTTTATTTTTGATTAACATTTAGCAATTATGAATGAAGCCACTTTGAATATTCTTGCAACTATCTTTTGATAGACACATGCACTCATTTTTGTTGCCATGAATGCTGGATCTCAGGGTGACTTACGTTACTGAGCACATAATGGCAAAATTTTCCAAAGTGTTTCTACCAATTTACTCTCCTACTAGAAATATATGAGAATTCCAGGGGCTCCACAACTTTGCCAAAACTTGATATTGTGAATCATTTTCATTTTAGCCACTGTAGGCCATAATGGGCCTATTTCCTTTTGTCATCCCCATTGTTCTGTTTGGTTTCTTTCTTGTAGGCAGAACTTTAACTATTGATTCAATATCTCTAATGGCTATATATCTATTCAGGTTTTCAATTTATTCTTAAGTTCTGTTAAATTATTTTTGTTGAAAAATCATTTATTCAGTCTAAGTTTTCATATTTACCATCCTAAAATGGTTCATAGTATTTGGCCTTATTTCTTAAATCATAGCTAAATCTGTAATTTGAAGTCCCTTTTCAATCCCAATATTCCTTTTGTGCCTTGTCTCCTTGATTAATCTAATATGATACCCATTAGTTTGGTCATTATGAAAAGAATCAGATTTAGGTTTTAGTGATTCTGTTTTCTTGTTTTCTATTCAACCATTTCATCCTTTATTATTTCAATATTCCTAATTTCTATTTTTCTTTTGATGCTCTTTCTTCTACTGTCCTTCTCTTGACTACATAAATTAGATGTTTTAGCTCATTTTTTCCACTCATACATTAATTTTAACATATGCATAGGAGACTAAAAATTTTCCTTAGAATATCTTTGGCTGCAGCCCATGAGCTGTGATATTTTTAATATCACTCTGTTCTAAAAGTTTTCTAATCTTTATCCTAATTTCTTCAATGGTTAAGTAGCAAGACGGCTGGCTTTAAATTGCTGAATATACATGATTTGGGGGGATTACATTCTAACCTAATTGTACTAGAGTCTGAGAAGGTAATATGTACAACATCAATCGTTTGGTGTTTATTGAAACTCATACTTTCTGCACAGTGATGTAAAAGATTACAAATTTTCTAGAAGTGCTTGAAAGAATATGAATTTTTAAATTGTTGGATACAGGATTCCATATATACATACATTAGACCAAGATTATAAATTATCATTCAACTCTTCAACTTCTTGCTTTCTTGTTACTAGTCTAACAATTCCTAGTAAATGTGTAAAAATGTTCCTATATTACAGACTTGTTCATTTCCATTTGAAATTTTACTATTAAATTCATACAACTTTAGAATCTTTAGGGCTCTTGCCTAAGTATTACTTAAACAATATACAAAGGTTTTGTTTTTGTTTTTAAAGAGGGAAAGAGAGACATGGGGAGGGGGAAGGAGGAGAGAGAGAAGGAGAATATTAAGCACGCTCCACGCCCAGCACAGGGCTCAATCTCACAACCATGAACGAGATCATGACCTGAGCTGAAATCAAGAGTCAGATGCTTAACCAACTGAGCCACCTAGGCACCCCTATAAGAGTCCTTTTTAACTCTAGTAATGCTTGTTGCACTTAAATCTATTCTGTGTGATATTAAGATAGCTATATCTACTTTATTTTAGTGACTATTTGCCTGAAATATTTCTTTCAATTCCTTTGCTTTCAATTTTTGTGTCCTTATATTTTTGGTATGTCTCATAACCAGCATAAAGATAAACAATCTCTTCCTTTACACTAGCTTTCTAATCTATTATGATTATGATTAATCTGCACCCCCAAAAAATGTCCTTGCAAAGGTTTCAATTTCAGAATGCCAATAGCCATTCTACTTCCTTAAAAAGCTCCAAATACTTAAATGTCACATCTCTACCTAAAAACCTCAATTGCCTATTTATGCTCTCCAGATTAAAATATAAGTCCTTTGGCATTACAAAAAAGGCATTTATAGTCTAGATCAAACCTGTATTTCTTGCCTCACTTCCTACTACATCTATCCATTTATAAGTACACAAAATTACATATTCTTCAGCAGTGATGCTCTTTTATACTTCTATGCCTTTGCACATGTCCAGAATGTGTCCACCCACATTTATTCACTTTGTGAAAACAAAGTCAATACCCTACCATAAAAATTATCCTAAGTTTTACAGAGACAACTAGTTACTCTTCCGCACTTTTTCTTAGCTATATTATGAAGCTAATCTTTATGTATTACCATCTCACTATTTCAAATAACCATGTACAACACATTTATCTAAATAAATAGGGCAGCCCAGGTGGCTCAGTGGTTTAGTGCTGTCTTCAGTCCAGGGCCTGATCCTGGAGACCTGGGATCGAGTCCCACATCAGGCTCCCCACATGGAGCCTGCTTCTTCCTCTGTGTCTCTCCCTCTCTCTCTCTGTGTGTCTCTCATGAATAAATAAATAAAATCTTTTTAAAAATTTAAATAAATAAAAATTTATCTGAATAAGTCTTAATTTCAGAATATTTAATCCCACGATTTAAACTTAAAATAGCCACATTAAGAAGCATCTCACATTTCTTTTTTCATTAAATCCTTATATAGAAATATCATCTCGATTTAACAGATGAACTGAGGCTCAAGAAGGTTAAATAATCTGCCTAATAATTACATTATTTATAATTATTTTTAATTATATATTACTTATAATTATATTATAAATAAAACAGAGCCACTGAGAAATAAATCTAGTTGATTCCAAAGCCTAAATATTTCCATAAAGTAATAGTATCTTCCAAACATATACTGAAATTTGAACTAGACTAACCAAATGTTGCTGAGAAAATATTCTTCCAAATTCATTTTAATAAAAAATGACTTATGGATTTTGAGCAGTTTTTAAAACTTAAATGTGCATGCAAACAAATATTTAACCTATATATGACAACTTTCCAAAAAATATTTTCTTAAAAAAAACTTTCTTCATAACCTTATTTCATCATAGTATGGTTCTTGAAGATAAAAAACTTTTTTGCATTCCCACCAACAGTGTTAAGAGGGTTCCCCTTTCTCTCCACCCTTGTCAACTGATGCAGCCACTCTGGAAAACAGGATGGTGCTACCACAAAAAGTTAAAAATAGAGTTTACTTTAAAAAAAATTAAAAATGGAACTATCTTATGACCCAGCAATTGCACTACAAGGTATTTATCCAAAGGATACAAAATATTGATTTGAAGGTATCCATGCACCCCAATGGTTAGTAGCATTATCAACAATAGTCAAATTATGAAAAAAAACCCCAACTATCCATCAGTTAGTAAATGGTTAAAGAACATGTGGTATGTATATACAATGGAATATTATTCATTCATCAAAAAGAATAAAATCTTGCCAGTTGAAATGATGCAGATGGAGCTAAAGTATATTATTCTAAATGAAATAAGTCAGAGAAAGACAAACACTGTATGATTTCACTCATACGTGGAATTTAAGAAACAGATGAACACGGGGGAGGAAAAAAAGAGGCAAACCATAGACTCTTAACTATTGATAACAAACAGGGTTGGTGGAGGGGAGGTGAGTGAGGGTGGGTTAAATACGTGATGGGTATTAAAGAGGACACTTAATTGTGATGAGCACTAGGGGTTTGTGTAAGTGATAAAGCACTAAATTCATCACACTTGAAGCTAGTATTCCCAAACTGTCTGTTAACTAACTGGAATTTTTTAAAAATCTTGAAAAAAAGTTTTTTTTTTTAAGATAAAAATGCAGATTATTATTTAACCCTGTGTAAAAGCTGCTATATTTATATTATGGTACTAGAAAATATTACTACACAAAAAATTTTAAATATTAGTTTTATATTCAATTGACATTCAGAGTTAATGGTTCTTTAGTCAAGGCTACCTACAAAACTTTATCTTAAAACATGCTTTTGCATTACTTATGTATTTCTAAAGGAAGACCCAAGTATACTTCCTCATGAATTTTATGTAGGTATACAACTTAATTTCAGAAATAAGCAAATATTACATTGATAATCATTATCAGGCTTCTAATCCCAATCCAGAATGCCAATAACATGAAATTTTTAATGACAAATAAAAAAATTAATAGACAAAAAGAACATTAAAATTATTCTACTGCTAGATTTCTGAAAATTTTTCATTTTAAAAATCAGCTCTAATTTTTTTAAAGATTTTATCTAAAAAAAATTTATTTATTTATTCATGAGAGACACAGAAAGAGAGGCAGAGACACAGGCAGAGGGAGGAGAAGCAGGCTTCATGCAAGGAGCCTGATGTGGGACTCAATCCTAGGACTCCAGGATCACGCCCTGAGCCAAAGGCAGATGCTTGACCGCTGAGCTACCCAGGCATCCCTTTTGGTTTTTTTTTTTTAAGATTTATTTGTTCATGAGAGACATAAAGAGAGGCAGAGACACAGGCAGAAGAAAGAGAAAAATCAGCTATAATTTAAATAGGTAATATATTCTTTTTCCCTCTACAAAAACAATTTGCTTTAAAAAGACATACCTCTTTCCTTGTTTACTTTGTTCAAGTAAGTCCACCTTTAACTTTATACATTCATCTTGAGACTTTTGCAATCTTTGTTCCTTTTCAATTACCATTTTCTGGCTCTGCTCTAATTTATCTTCTGCCTCTCTATAAAATAAAGGATATATATATATTTTAAGATTTATTCATTTGAGAGAGTGTGTGTGCACATATGTGCGTGCCAGTGGAGGGAGAGAACCATCACACAGAATCCCTGCAGAGCCTGATGAGGTGGGGAATGCGGAGGGTGTTCATCTCACAACCCATGAGATCATGACCTGAGCAGAAACCAAGAGTCAGACACTCAACCAACTGAGCCACCCAGACACCCCAATAAACGATATTTTTTAAAGGCTATTCAAGAGATTATTCCAGGTATACAGGAATAGCTCGACATTAGAAATTGTATCACTTTAAATCACTGAGATAAGAGAAACCAATATTTAATAGAGATAGACAAAATTCATCGCTTGTCTACTAAGAGTCTTTAGAAGGAATGAAATGCTGTATATATCTGAAATAACAGCTTATATTCTGTTTCATAGTCACGTATTGGCAGCATAACCATATAGTTCAGAAACTAGGTAAGAATGACTGTTATCAGCACTATAACTAATGATTTCTCTGACAGCTACATAAAGAAAAATTTAAAAATAGTAAGTATAAATTTTGAAAAGGAAAGACGGTATTTTCTTTTTGCTGATAATATCATTAGCTGCCTGGAAAATCAAAGAGAACCAAAATGAAAAATTATTAGAATAAAAGAGTATGACAAATAGTCTAATTACAAAGTAATTATATATTACATAAAAAGCAACAGCTTTCTTAAATACCATCAAGGAACAAATTCACAACAACCAAAAATATAAAATACCTAGGAATAAAATTATAAAGCACCTGCTTCCTTTTTATCTTATTTCTTGAACTCCCAACTTAAGCACCTGTATATACTACTATGTAGGAAAACAAATGAAAAAATTCATATTCAATAAAAGCATGTAAATAAGCATCTCAGCTGAGCTTTAGTTTTTTTAGTCCCCTTAAACTGCATGCATCCTGGAGCCAAGAGGAGGTATAATGGATTGTGGAACAGGTTCCATTAGTTCTAAGACAGTCTATAGGATGCTAAAAATTGGGGTGGGGAACAAGATTTCACAAGATATATCAAAAAGCAAAAGTAGGAAATAAAAATTTTAAAGCCATAAAAAGTATACTCACCTCAAAACTTTATCTTGCGCTGAAACTTCTGCTTCCAAATTTATAATCTGTTCTTCTAAGATTGGTACACTGGCTGCCTGTTGTTGAACAGATTCAAGCATAGAAACCTAAAACAAAATCGATAACTCTAAGAGTAATTCTTTTCAGAAGACATTCATCTACTTGGTCCTTTGTTTTTTTCCCTGTTCTGATGAGGGTGTCAATATAACTTCCCAATCACTGGTCAAATGTGAAGCTCACCCTATCTATTCCTTTGATCAACATTTACATGGGTGTGTCATCATCACAAACCAGTGTCAGCATGTAAGTTCCTGCCATTATCCTCAACTTAATATTCAAGACAATCGATTAGCTATTTTGGGGGGATAAAAGAATCCCTACTGACATCATCCAGGAAGATAAATTTCACATAAATCAGAAAATTAAATATACAAAGGATTAAATCATTTTTAAAAGTGAATAAAATATACCAATTGAATCTTTCTACAATTTAAAACCTAATTTTAGAATACATGCTTACTAGAGAAAACCTAGAAAATACAGAAAAGCATAGCGCCAGGAAAGAAAACCTGGAATATAGCTCAAAATCTCTGTTGGAGGGACGTTTGGGTGGCTCAGCAGTTGGGTGTCTGCCTTTGGCCCAGGGAGAAGTCCTAGAGACCCGGGATTGAGTCCCACATCAGGCTCCCTGCATGGAGCCTGCTTCTCCCTCCGCCTGTGTCTCTGCCTCTCTCTCTTTCTCTCTCTCTCTGTCTCTGATGAATGAATAAATAAAAAAAATCTTTAAATTAAAAAAAAAATCTCTGTTAGTAAGTCAACCCTTTTTCTCATTCCCCAAATACCAACAGTCAAATTATGGCCTACTATGAAGAAAGAAAATTTATTATCTAGAAAAACTGAACAGGAAAGGTTTAGGACTCTGGGACACTACGTAGAATCATGAGCAGGGATGGGGTAGTTATAAACAAATTAAATATAAAACAGTCAGTTTCCAACTACTTACTTCATCTCATTTAGAGTTATCCCACAGGTGGGAAATCAAAGGATTCTTTGCTGGAAAAATTCAACAGCTTCAAAGAAAAAGACCTCACAAATGATACTGGATTAAAAAGGCAGAGTATCTCCCTACAAAAGAGCCATCTCTCCAGGCATCACCAACATATGAAACTCACTGGACAACGAACTTTACCTTCATACACAGAGCTCCCAAACAGCATGTAACTGCCTTTCTCTTAAATATAAATAGCTAAAACACTAACATCTGAAAAAAAGCTTCTAACATAAAAATCAGAGGCAAAAACAAAGAGGCAACTGGCAGCAAGCAAAGCAAATGTGCACAAACATATCATTAAATCTTCAGAAAGTTATGTGAGGATAACATATCAGGATATTATTCAATACAAAACAAAGAACCAGAGAATGTGAAAAAGCTCTGGAAGATGAAAAAATATGACAGCTAAAATAAGATTCAACAGAGGTGTGGATGACAGTGTTGAGGAAATCTAAAAAGTATCGTGGGAAGACAAGAAGATGGAAAACATGAGAGAAAAAAAAAACCTTAAAAGATTAAAAGAGTTAGAAGGACCAATTAAGGTGATCCAATATTCACCTAATAGGAAAAACAGAAGAAAACAGAGGGAAATTTTATAAAACAACAACAACAAAAAAAAAAAAAAAAAAAACAGAGGGAAGAAAACTATCCAAGAAATTGCATAAGAAAAATTTCCAGGACCAAAGAACACAAGATTAAAGCCTGAAAGGGTCTTCATTTATCTACTACATTGAATAAAAGTCTATTCAAAGCCATATCATTCTGAAATTTTAAAACACCAAGAAAAGAGGAAAGATCCTTAAAACTATCATGAAAGGAAAAACAAATGGAAAAAACAAATTCTACTAAGACAACTGATTCACAATGGCAACAGACACTTTTTTTCAGAGAAGCAGCAGAAGACAAAGTAATGTCTTAAAAATTCTGAGGTAAAGTAATTTTCAACCTAGAATCAAATGTGAGGGAGAAATTAGGACATTTCAGACATGCAATGGGGTTACTAGAAAATATGTTCCAATTAAAGAAAGACTAAAGTAAGAAAGAATAAGACACAGGATCCAGAAAACAGTAGATCCAACCTAAAATATCAAGGCAAGTCCCAGAAGAGCAGATGGACAACAGGCCTTGGCGGGCAGTAAGTTCGGAAAGAGCAGGATCCTGCTTTGTAAGTGTAACTGCTGACATTGAAAAAGATAAATTATTATTATATTGGTTGGTACAATGAGGAATTTCAGCACAAAATTTTCAGTAGTAGTAAATACACAACATTAAAAGCTGAGACCTGCCCTAAAAAAGGGAGTCTCCCTAAAAAATATTCTGTTAGGCAATGTAGAAAATGCTGAAGTGGGAAGCAAAATATAAACAACTATCCTACTACTTGGAATAAATAACCACTGGTGTATCTATATATTAAAGGAAAGGAAGAAAATGCTATTATCAGTTCTGTGATTATTAGTAAAATTCTCTTAATATCTTTTTGTTTTTAAATAAACTTATGACTTAAGGAAAAACTCTATAATTATGGTAGAAAAATTAAAACAATTGCTAAACAGAAAAGGTGAACAAATTATAAAGAAATATACATGGCAAACAAATATACCAAAAAGGTAAACCTTATGAGAAATCAAGAAAACCAATATATTTTTCCCTCAAAAAATTAAATATAGAAATTAAAAAAAAAACCTCAGTAGACTACTACGCAGAGTACAGTAAATCCTGGGAAAAAAAGTTTTCCCTGTGATTTGGTCATTGTAAAATTCCATCCTATTTAAAAAATACAAAAGAGGGATCCCTGGGTGGCGCAGCGGTTTGGCGCCTGCCTTTGGCCCAGGGCGCGATCCTGGAGACCCGGGATCGAATCCCACGTCGGGCTCCCGGTGCATGGAGCCTGCTTCTCCCTCTGCCTATGTCTCTGCGCCTCTCTCTCTCTCTCTCTCTCTGTGACTATCATAAATAAATAAAAAAAAAATTTAAAAAAAATACAAAAGAAAAATAAAGATCTCCCATAATCCTACTACTTAAAACAACACATCTATAAAAGTAAATAGTGAAAGCTTCATTGCACAACATTCCAATCCCTCAGAGTTATCAACAGTAATGTGGAGCACAGTCTTTATGTTCTTATATACATCATAAATATCTATACATATACACACGAACATATAAACACATTTACTCTTTTAATAAAAAGCATAACTGGGATCACTGCCTGCGGGTGTGGTTCTATAATGATTCTCTACCATTAAATATGTTAGTAACATTTTTTTAAGATTTTATTTATTTATTCATGAGAGACACAGAGAAAGAGAGAGAGAGGCAGAGGGAGAAGCAGGCTTTCCACTAGGAGCCTGATGTAGGACTTGATCCCGGATCCCATGATCACGCCCTGAGCCAAAGGCAGACACTCAACTGCTGAGCCACCCAGGCGTCCCATTAGTAATAGTTTTTTGAGTGCTATATGCAGACACTGGTGCCTTTTCATATATTATTATCATTTAATCTTCATAATGTTTCATAAAAGTCAAGTAACTTTGTATCATAGAACTCATATATTTACCTCAAAAAAAAGTTTTGTACAATTCATTATATGGATATATCATAATTTTCCATCCCTCTATTGCTGGACATTTTTGTTTCTAATTTTTGTATAATATCAATCATACAGCAAAAAACTGGAAACCACTAGGGATGGCTGACTGGCTTAGTATGAAGAGCATGCAACTCTTCATCTTGGAGTTATGAGTTCGAGCTCCATACTAGGTGTAGAGATTACTTTAAAAGAATAAAATAAAAATAGAAAGCCATGTAAAGAGGGGAGTTATTAATTAAATCATGGTATAAGTACATAAGGAAACAATGGTACCATAAAAAAATGATCATTGGAAAAGCCAAGTAATGGGCAGCCCGGGTGGCTCAGCAGTTTAGCACCACCTTCAGCCCGGGGTGTGGTCCTGGAGACCCGGGATCAAGTCCCACATCAGGATCCCTGCATGGAGCCTGCTTCTCCCTCTGCCTGTGTCTCTGCCTCTCTGTCTCTCATGAATAAATAAATATTAAAAAAAGAAAAGAAAAACCAAGTAAACATATCAGAAAATGCTTAGACAAAGTAAAAAATACAGGAAAAAAGAAAACTATTCCAATAGTCTGGATTCAATATGTAATAAACCAATAAATTAGTTTCTCATTCGTGGAAACTGGGTGATCTTTCTCCCTTTCCTTTTTTCTATGTTTAAAGTTTTCAACAATGAAAATGTACTACTTTAAAAAGGAAGATAAATAAGGTACATTTTTGGGGCACCTGGGTGGCTTAGTCAGTTGAGCATTTGCCTTCTACTCAGGTTATGATCAGGGTCCTGGGATTGAGCCCCGAGTCAGGCTCCCTGCTCTGTGGTGGGTCTGCTTCTCCCTCACCTCACTGCTTGTGCTCATTCTCTTTCAAATAAATAAAATCTTTAAAAAAAAAAAGAAAAGAATAAAAAAATAAGCTGTATTTTCTTTGTATAAGAAATAAAACCACATAAATCGGTAATCTTAAGATTTTAAGAAACTAGGACTTCTGTAAATGCACACACTAAACAAGTTCTCCTAAATCATTTTCAGATACTAAACTCATGTAAAATTGATTCCATAACATGTTGATCCCATATCATAATAAATATTATAAACAACACATTAAGGCAATATACATGGAATATTTTTCCAATTATAAATGTAAAAATGATTCCAATTACTTTCTATTAGCATAGTCACCACTTGAAGAAACATACTTTTGCTCTTGACTGTGTTAATTCAAAATGGACAGATTCCATTTTAGTCATTAAAGAATGATTCTGTGAGACCAAACAAGCATTCTGTTGTCTGAGTTTGTTAAGTTTCTCTCGAAGACTTCTGATCTCCTGATCCATGGGGGTAGATGAAAAAGACATCTGAAAAATGAAAAAAAGAGTAAGCTATTTTGGAATATTTCATTAAGCATTATATGTAATTAATGAAAAATGATGAACAATTATTAGTAAAATGACTAAGTAGCTGAGAAAATGAGTTAAGATATTTAGTGGGTATTGGTGAGGAATGTATGGGACAATCAACACTCTCCTCCACTGCTGGCGGATGAGTACATAAATAGTACAGCTTCAGAAACAATGCACTCTGGGAAAGTTCTGGTATTATCCAGTAAAGTTGAACATGCTAAGACTCAACAATATTACTCTTGGGTATAAATCTAAAACTTTTGCACCTGAAAATATAAAAATATTCACAACTATTTTGTCCATAAAAGACAATAAATGGAAAGAATCCAAATGACCATCAACAACAAAATGAATCATGGATAAATTTATTATACTTTTGAATATATATTTTATAATAAATCACTTTAGTTATCTTGAGGGTTGAGGTTTTAAGACATGATTTTTTTTAAAAAATATGCAATTCAAAAGTCAAAACTACATAAAAGAAAAAGTACACATAGAAGCCTCATTCTCAAAAAAAAAAAAAAAAGAAGCCTCATTCTCATTTTTAGTAGGTAAGTAACCAAAATAATTTTTTTTTTAAAGATTTTGAGAGAGAGAGAGAGAGACAGTAAGCACAAGTTGGGGGAGGGGCAGAGGAAGAGGGAGAAGGAGAAGCAGACTCCCTGTGGAGTATGGAACCCAACTGGAGTTTTGACCCCAGGATCTAGAGATCATGACCTGCACTGAAGTCAGACACTTAACTGAGCCACCCAGGCACCTTTTTAAGTTTCTTATTTATAAATTTTTATAGATACCAATCATACAGCAAAAAAATAGGGAACTGCCTATACAAGAGTTAAATTATGGTCTTATTTAAACCTAGTCTTTCATGTTTCCACCTTCATTTGCAAGCAATACAAATTAACCACCCCCACACTGACTTATGCAAAAACTAGGGTACTATATATGTCATTTTTGTACCTTGCATTTTTCCTTAAATATATCTTGTCAATCTCTCTATAATCAATATAGTTAGAAACTCCTATTCTTTCATCCCCCCACCTCAGCTGCAATTTCCATTGCATGTTTATTCAACCAATCTCTTATACTAGGCACTTGAAGTATTTCTAATCTATTATGGCAACAAAAGCCTCATTTTGTACTTATGCAGGCATACTTGTCACGTATTTTTCTAGAAATGCGATTTCCATGTCAAGGGTAAACGCATTTGTGATTTGGGGAAACATTATCAAATGCACCTCCATAGAGGTTCTATCATTTTGCATTGCTACCAGCAATGTTAATGAGAATGCCTATCTCCTCTTAATTTCACCAGCAAAACACAGTATCAAATGTCTGACAGATATAAACTGGTACCTAAGAATACTTTGTGAATTTCTCTTTTTTTTAATTTCTCTTATTATGAATGAGAGTGAACACCTTTTTATTTGTTTGAAGATCATTTTAATTTCCTTTTTCACACGTGTTTTGTCCATTTTTCTATTAGGTTGTTGATCTTTTCTTTCTAGAAGCTCGACCCATATTAAAGAGATTAGCTCTTTATCTTTAATAGGCATTACCAATATTTTCCCCTCCAATTTGTCATTAGTCTTTTGACTTTGCTTACGGTAAAACACAATGATTTCAGTTAAAGCATATATGTAACAAAAATGATCAGCAATTTGAGTTAGGGTAGAGGTCAAAATACCCAAATTACACAATCCTTGTAGACATGGAATTTGAATTCATTTTCTATATTGCAGGTTCACATAGCTTCATTAAGGAGCTTCCTCACAAAAAGAAAACCTCCCAATTGTTAGTTTTCTGAAGTGTGAAGAGCACATTTTTATGAAAAATGTAATGATGTGCATATGCAACCATATGCATGTATACCTGGCAGTGAGCTGATAGAGAATAGGAAGAAAAAAGTGGAAAGGGAAATTGAAGGGTTGAGTAAGGAAAAGAAGTAATCACAAGGACATAGATAATAGGACTGAATAGGAAAGACAGAGGGAGAGAGTTCCAGACCAGTAAAGATGTCTCAGATAATCTACAAAATTTAGGGATAATGAAAAGAGAACAGAGCCATGCTATCATATGACACCCGATCCAGGCTAAATATATATATTTATAGTGTGTGTGTGTGTATTTACTATATATTTTAACCACTTAATAAAATATATTTATTTTTACTATAGACTTTAGCCACTTAGTAAATAATTGATTATCTACTATGTAGAGTGCCAAAAATCAGAGGTTACAATTTACTTAAGAAAACAAAATTTAATTGCAAAAAGGCAATAAATATAGAAGTTTAAAAATAATATACATTAAAGCAACTTCTTTCTTGTTAGGACACAAGAACCATAATATTTAAATTCAAGAGTCTTGAGCATAATGGTAAAAGACTATGGAAAACATAAATAAGGCATTTAGAGAAAAAAACTCAAAGAAAAAGTATTTTAAGTAGACAGATCTACAACTAAAGCTACTTTTAAGTAGACAGGTCTAAAAACAATAACCTTATCTCTTGGCTTTTTTTGAAAATCAGTACTGCCAGTGGACATTTTACAAACTCTTTTATAAGGTGAGTGATTCAAAAGTCCAAGCGGGTTAGGCTGAGAAAGATCTTCCAGAATGAATTTTTCAGACCTTGAGAGATTAGAGGCATAATCAGAATTTTCACTTGGACTAACACTAGAGAAAAAAGGAAAATACATTTTAGTTCCTAATTTAGGTATTCACTTCAAATTTCTATACATTAAATAAGAAAACAGAAAGAAAAGCACCTGAAGTTCTGCTAGAAATCACATTCAGTTATGAACTTAAGGCAATGTTTCAAGTAAATTTCTTAATAAATTTTAATGAGGTTTTTTTTTTTTGCTAATGAGTTTTTTTTTAAGAATTTATTTATTTATTCATGATAGACATGGGGGGGGAGGGGGCGGTGGCAGAGACTGTGGCAGAGACTGTGGCAGAGGGAGAAGCAGGCTCCATGCCAGGAGTCTGATGCGGGACCCGATCCCAGGACTCCAGGATCACGCCCTGGGCCAAAGGCAGGCGCTAAACCGCTGAGCCACCCAGGAATCCCCGGTAATGAGTTTTAAGCTAACAATCTGCATAGTCCAGAGACTGTAGGCTAGGATTACTTAAGATTCAAAAAAAATCATAATAATAAATGATTAATTAAGCCCAGGACAGATATTTTATTCTCTGAGTCCTAATATAGTAAAGGTGTTTACTTCACGTATAAATACTTCTCTAATATTTCTATTTTTTCCTAAACCAAGAATTACATTAAGAATCACAGAACAAAAAAATAAAAATAAAAATAAAAAAAAGAATCACAGAACAATATTTCCTATTCTAAATACGTATTAGAAATACAATATATAATAATTTCATACATTTTACATTCATAAATTAAAGTCATATTCTGAAGTTCATATGTGATTTTACTTTCTTACCTGGATAACTCTTCCCCTAAACTCTGCAAACTCCATTCTGTTATCTTCAGTTCATGTCTTAAGGAAGCAACATTTGCAAGCAAACTTTCTTCTTCATTGTCTTTATTACAGTAGTCTGATGAACTAGATTCCATTTCTTTAAAAAAAGAAGTGAATTTCTTGCACCTTGCCAGAAAGAATCTGTGGTATCAGTCAAAACATTCTCACACCAGTAGAATTTAACTCATTAATTTTCTATTTATCACAAATGTTGTGCAATCTTTCACAGTAATTTTAAACAAAACAAAACCCCAGAAACAATGAATTTCTCTGCAGTATAAAGCCATGGAAATGGAAAGTTTCCCTTTTCTAAGCACATTTAATCTTTCTATCAATACTGTGCATTAAGTATTTTTATTCTATGTTAAAGATGAAGAAACTAAGAATAAGGCAAATTAAATAATTTGCTCAAGGTCACATAAACTCTAAATGTTGGAAACAAGATTTGAACCTAAGTCATCAGGATCCAAAGACCTTTTAATTATGTCACACTGCAATTTCTAACTTATTATAGATTAATTTCAAGATGAGCTGCTTGAACTTACATAATCAAGTTACAAGCTCTAGAAATCTGATAAAATTGGTATCATTATAGTCTCTTGTATTTTCTTAACGGCAATTTACTACCAAATAAAGGTTATCTCCTTCTCCCATTCACAAGTCATAAAATTTTAAAAACACATTCACATCACAACCATAGAGATCAAAATGGCATATGACAAGTTAATGCATAGAAATACATGAAGTTTTTCTTTCTTCAAGCATCTCTAGATTGTGAAATTCTCTACTAACCTTTGCACAGAGAAGTCATGATAAAGGGCCACATTATTAATAAAAACATATAATCATTATGTATTAAAATACATATTAATATGTGATATAATAAAAATTAAGGCTTTAAAATCTCTACTGCTCCTGCATAGATCTTTCTGCATCTTAAAATTATCCTCTTTCAGGGATCCCTGGGTGGCGCAGCGGTTTAGCACCTGCCGTTGGCCCAGGGCGCGATCCTGGAGACCCGGGATCGAGTCCCACGTCGGGCTCCCGGTGCATTGAGCCTGCTTCTCCCTCTGCCTGTGTCTCTGCCTCTCTCTCTCTCTCTCTCTCTCTGTGACTATCATAAATAAATAAAAAGTAAAAAAAAAAAATTATCCTCTTTCAGATCGTATTTACCTTCGTCATTGTAGCATCTCTCTTTCATCACCCTTCTAGAATTCTGACCACATCTCAAGCTCCAAAAGGTTTGGAGTCTCAATGTACTATGTTCTGGGCTGGAAAGCACTTCCAGAAGCTCAATATGTTCAGTGAATAAATGATTGCTTAATTGCCCTTTCTTCCCCTCATCCAGCTAAAATAGCATGGTAAATTTATTCTCCACTCAAAATCCCTCAGGTGTAAGGAGGAAGATTAAAAGCCCTCACTTTATTGTAAGAAACTGTAGCAGGAAATTAAATGAGACGCTATGTAATCGCAGAGAAAATGTTTTTGTTTTTTTCCCCTTTCGTTTGCACAAATTTGCTTCTGCTTTAGTGAGAAGACCGTCCCGTACAAAACTCAGTGGATCAGGTCCCCCTTCTGCTTTATCTTTTCAACATCTCTAGCTTCCTACGGAATGGTGAAGGAAAAAAGGGTACAATTTGGATAAATTCTAAAACGTCACTCGATACTACGTTTCAAATAAATCACGTTTCACGTACAGCATCTTGTGTATTTTTTATGTAACAGTTCCCTACCACTTCTTAAGTAGCAATGAATACATGCGCTTTTAGATTTTTTTTCCCCCTACTGGAAAACAATTTATTGTCAAATGAAGATTTTTCTTCCCTTCAACTTAGAGTAGTTATAAAAGTCTATCTCCAGTGCCTGTACATATGTGGAAAAGTACATCACGCTACCACAGGCCCTGACGAGATCATCCTCCGGCCTTACTGACGCGCTGGTAGCTTGACGCGCACGTACACCCGTCGACACCGAGAAACAGGTGTCGTTTATAAACCTTGTATGTAATAGGACGGGCTGCGGTGGGAAAAGATGCCTCATCTTGGAAGGAGGCCGAAGACTTACTGTTGTATTGTCCTGTTACCAACAAATCTCAATTTGACAGGACTGATCCTACGTTCACCTGGAAGGACAGGAAAATATGACATCCACCTCTCGGATTTCTCCAGAGAAACACAACCCTGGAGAGCAGCGCGCGCAGCCAAGGGTGAAGCCCGTACGAAGGGCGTCCGAACGTGCCGGGAGGGAAAAGGAAAACTCCCCCAGGTAGGCCCGTTTGCACCTTCCCAGGAGCAGTCACCGCCCGCGTCCGTGGCCGGGAAGCCGACCCACCTGACACAAGCGCACACCGCGCTGTCGTCCGCGTTCGGAAGCCTCGGACCCTCTCCTGAGCTCCGGGCGTGGAAGCATCGGACGCTCCGAGGACGCGGGGAACCAGCGAACCCCGGCCGCACGGCGTTCGAACCGCCGCGGGAGCCGTTGGAGACGCGCCTCCCTGGCCGCGGCCCCGCCCCGCCGCGCGCAGGTTCTGCGTGAGGCGACGCCAGAGGCGTGGGGCCTGTCGGGGATCGTGGTCTGCGAGCGCGTCCAGGCCCGCTCGCCCGGAACTACATTTCCCACAATTACCTCTCAGACGTGCGTTGGTGTGAGGGAAGCCCTGGGAACCGGCCTCCCGGGGGTGAGGCGGGGCGCGCGCACGCGGGGCCTGAGGGGGCCGAGACCGAGGAGGGTGCGGAAAAGGACTGCTGGCCCCGCCCCTCGGTCCCTACCCTGCGGAGGCAGGCGTTTCCCGCTCGGAGGGATTCCGTGCCGCCGTCGCGGCCGCCGCGCGGGGTTTCTTCGGGCTCCAGGTTTCCCTGCCAACCACGAGGAGTCGAGCGCGGGGGAGAAAAAGCGGCGCCTGGGTGAACCCCCCCACACCTCCCGCGTCGCTTCCAGCCCGAGCTCGCCCCGGAAGGGATGGGCGACATCTGGCTGCCCTGCCCGGTGCTCCTCCTGGCCGGTCTGCTCCCAGCGCTGCTGCCGGGGACGGCCAGCTTCACGCCCTCCTTGGACAGCGACTTCACGTTCACCCTTCCGGCCGGCCAGAAGGAGTGCTTCTACCAGCCCATGCCCCTGAAGGCCTCGCTGGAGATCGAGTACCAAGTAAGTGCGGACGGCGAGCCGGCCTCCTTCTTTATCCCAGCTACCCTGGGTCTCCGCCTCTCACCCGCTTGGAAACTTCTTGCGGACCGCCCGGGGGGTGAAGAGGCGACGGCCGCCCGGGTAGCCGGCGGCTCCGCGCAGGCGCGCGAGGCTCGGCCCGCCTGGGCCCGGGGACCGACAAGTTAGGCGGGACCTGGAACGGACTACCCGCCCTCTCCCCTCTCCTCCGGTCGGAAAGAGGCCAGCGCTGGCGATCTCGGTGCTTTTTTCCCCTTTGTTCCACAATTCGCGCATCGCCTTGCTGACCAGCACATGTCCCAGTACTGGGAATTTCGCAATACAGGACTGGTAAACACGTTCTCCTTCATCATTGGAGGAGATGATGACACTTGTTTTGTTACCCCTATCACGCTCGCCCAATTCCGGTGTTATAAATCTTCACGGTCATTGCTTCGCTTAAGGATTTCTGAATTGTGAACTTGTGACCAAATTCCATTTTGGAATATTTTTAAAGGAGCTCTTGATGGTATTTGATGTATACCAATACATTGCCTTCTCAGTTATCGATTTGTTTTTCAATCAAAGCAATATTTAACTGTATATTAAAACTTTATAACCTTTCATTCATCCTTGTAAGCATTTCTCCCATATCATTGTTTGAGTATCTTCACAATATTATGTAAGGATGTGCCCTAATTTTATGTAGTCATTGTGGTAGAGGGTAGTAATTTCTAAGAAGAAATCTTGTTAGTTCCACACAGCTAATTCTGAGGTTTCTGGGTAGTACTGGAAAAAAAAGAAGAAGAAAAAAAAAAGATTCGTTGGTGTGGTTCACCTTTTAATTTTTTCACAAATTAATTTATAATCAGATGGTAACTTTTTTAAGTTGATGTAAAGGATTTTTTCAACATTTACTGTCGCGTATAGAGCAAAGTAAAAAAGTGTAGAATTTTCATCGGAAGGAACTTTAGAATTATAGATATTTAAGGTAAGCAATAGAGAGGGCAGTATCTAAAGTGACAGTGAGCAAAACTGAGGCTAGAACGCAACATTTCTTGATCTCCAATGTAGTTCAAAAGTTGTTACCATGCGCCAGTAATGGGGTGGGGGGGGGTACGGATAAGATGACCAGCTACGACAGGGACAAAAAAAGTCCCTGTTTTCAAGGGTCTTATTATTTAAGGGATACTGGCTAATAGCTAATTTCAATAAAGTATGGTTAAGTGCTGTTAGAGGAGAGCCACTTCTCTGGTGTTTCAGAACAGGATTCCTGGAGAAAATAAATTTGAATCTGGAAAGATGCTTAAGTGAGACAAGAATGCAAGGAAGGAGGGGCATTTCAGGAAAAGGAAAAAAAAATAGTTCTAAAAATCCAAGTGTGTTTTGTTGGTGGGCAGTATGTGGACACAAGTGCTGAATTTTTATTAGACCTGAAAACGGATGAAGCCTAGGGTGAGAGTAGAAGTAAAAGAGATTGGAAAGGTCAGGAGGCTGGATCGGGGATCATGAATCTTAAGCCTTTGTGTGCCATACTGAGTGGCTGCTTTGCCCTTGTTCTGTACAAGGGCCACTGAAGATATAAGCAGCATGGAACAGTCAGAAATGTCTTTCAGGTAGATCACTGAATACAGTGTGGAAAATGGATTTAAGGAGGGCAAAATTAGAGGCAAGGAAACCCAACTGGGGGTTAGTGAAATAATCCAGGTAAGAAAACTATTTTATTTGAAAATTCCTTAGTACTTACCCAGGTATTAAGGAGGAAATGTATATTAACTACTGATCTCTTAATGATTATGATATGAGACCTCTAGAGATAAAATGCTTAGGTTGAAATCCTGTTACTTACTACCTATGTGATTTGAACAAGTTACTTAATCTCTCACTTGTAAAATAGAGATAATAGTAATTACCTCATAGAGTTGATTTGAAAAAAAATGACACTAGTAAATATGTAGTGAATGTTAGTTTTTCTACATTTACACTTCTAGAATTAATATAGCTTGCCTGGTTTGGCTTTATATTCTGCATCTTTAGTCAATCTTTTTTTTTTTTTAAGATTTTATTTATTTATTCATGAGAGGGAGAGAGACAGAGACAGAGACACAGGCAGAGGGAGAAGCAGGCTCCATGCAGGGAGCCTGACATGGGACCCAGATCTCCAGGATCACATCACACCCTGGGCCAAAGGCAGCGCTAAACCGCTGAGCCACCCAGGCCGCCCATCTTTAGTCCATCTTAAAGGGAGTGTTCCCCCCCAAAGCATTCCTTCTAAACGACTTAATTGTTTTGATTGAGGAGAGAAGTAAAATGATTTAATGTCTGGTCCTAGATAATATTGAGGGGTTCGTAAGGTAAGAGATAATCCTCAATTTTTCGTTTGCATTTTTCAACTCCATGATTAATTTTCCAGTAACAACAAGCTTACTGCTTTTTGTCACTTTTTAAATGTCAGGGAACAGACACTCCAGACACTGCCCTTGGATTACTGTGACATATTGAAATTTTTTAACCGTTTCTTACTTTTCAGGTTTAAGAGGACACTTTTATTAAAATAATTGACCTGCCTCACATTAAGTTCTTGAAAACTTTAAGTGTCAATCAGCATATCTTATGAGTAAACTAGATCATTCAATTAACTTTTTAAAATCATTGTCGAGTGCTTAATTTGTGGGAGCACTATGCTAAGTGTTACGGATACAATGGGAGTAAAAATACAGTCCTTGTTCTCATACAGTCTAGTATGGTGGAAGACAGTGATCAAATTGTTACACAAATAAATGTAACATTGTAACTCTAATAAGTGCTATGAAGGTAGGCATATACAACTATGAGAAGATTTAACAGGAGGACTTAATTTTCATCTTCTTGAGAGAAGACATTCCAGAAGTAGAGTTCAGATCTATATAAAAATCAGTCTTATTAAGCATAAGGGGGTGATTAGAACAAGGTGATTGGTAAAAAGAATACCATGTGCCAAGGCACTGAGGAAGAAGACAGAAGAAACCCTTTGAGGAACTGAAAGACTGTTACAACAATAGTACAGAACCTGAGAGTGGCTGGCACTTGTCATCTTCCAGGGAAGTTTAGTTTCAGATTATGGTGTTTTTTTAAATAAATATTTTCTATTTTAAAATTGTGTTTTATATATTCTTAAGTTATCTTCTGTGTTCATCCCAGAACACAGATAAATGATAAAAATAACATTTTTAACAACTTCTTTATACATGACAGCCACTACCAATTATATCTTTTAATTTCTGTTTTCCTGAAACATTTGTTTGGTTTTGTTAGATCTCTTATTTTCTGATTTAATGGGTATCTTTTTTCGGGTTTTTAGAGGATAATTTTGAGTAATTCTATTAAAATGCTTTGAGTCCTTGGACATCTGAAAATGGCTTTACTTTTTGCTTTTACTTTGGTAAATACAATTTTTTTATTTTACTTGAGATCATTGAAGACATGACTCCATTATGGTTTTTTGCATCTAGTGTGGTAAGAATTCTGACTCCAATCCCAATTATTTATTTTCTTTTTTTTTAAGATTTATTCATGAGAGACAAGAGAGAGAGAGAGAGCAAAGACAGGGTGAGGGAGAAGCAGGCTCCATGCAGGAAGCCTGATGTGGGACTCGATCCCAGGACCCCAGGATCACAACCTGAGCCAAAAGGCAGATGCTCAACCACTGAGCCACCCAGGCATCCCATACAATCCCAATTCTTATTTTATAGTTCTCTATTATCATTGGAAGTTTCTAGGTTGTTCTTTTTAAATCCTTTGGGAAAGTCAGTAGGATTTTTATCTTTATTCATTTATCCTGCTTCACGTCTATTAGCCCATTCCAGTCTAAAGACTTTTTTCCTCTTTTGAAACAAGAATTTTTGTCCCTTATTTGATGATTTCCTTCGTTTCTCTTGGTTCTCTTTGAAGTGCTTGTTAGATATTTGAAATGTTTAGCTTTGTCCTTCACAAAGGGTCTTACCGCTGTTCTCATACTTTTCATGTACTTTTTCAACTTGTTCTGAGAATTCCCTGGTTCCTTCTAGTTCGCTGATTTTTAGTCTCTACCCATATTCATTTTGCTGTCATTACATTTATTAAGGCTTTATCTTGGCAACACATTTATGTTTTTAACTTATTTTTCATACCAGCAACCTCATTTTTTATGAATTATACATTTTTGAATTTCTCTGAGGATGTACAAGGAAACATTTTTCAGTCTGTTTATATTAACTATTTTTTCAGAATTTGATCCTCTCAATAAAACCAATAAAATGAAAAAAAGGATATTGATTTCAACAAATGTACTTCTCTAGTCTGTTTCAGTGAGGATTTTGAGATTGATAGCTATTGGTAGCCAGATACATCCTTTGCTCAGCCATTTGTGCCTAGAATATCTTCCAGAAATTCCTCACTCTTCATGCCTATTAACAGTCTTCCTAGATTTCCAGTGTTGTTATGGATTATTTGTATCATTATGTATTTTCTTCTTTTTATTGGGATTTGAAGAGACTTATGTATATTTACCTAGCTTTTTGAAACTACTTCTGTTGATAAGTAGAGCACAGCAATAAGTAATTTTTTATATCATTCCATTAAAACCACCAAGAAAAATAAAATGGAGTGTTAAATAAGAAAAAGAGTAGTTATCAGAGGAAAATTGCTGAGTTCAAATTTTGAATGCCATTCATTGACTGTATTACCTTGAGAAAAGTATTTCTCTGTCTTCATTTTTTTGTTTTTTTCTATTCTGTTGATTTTTCTGTTTATTTTACTGAGAACAGTAATAAGACCTATCTCTTAGAGTTGTTGTGAGGAAATTAACCCACACAAAGCACTTTAAACAATGTGTGGGACATAATGTAATTGTTAGCTATCATCATTATTTTGGGATTGTAAAGGAACAGATTGTGTTCACTGGCCAGTAAGCAAATAGCCTACTTGGAATATTCAGTTGATATAGCTGAATAATAGGTGAATGCACTGAAGAAGTCAACTGGAGTCAAATCATGGAAGTTTTGAGTTCCAGGTTAAGAACTAGCTAATTATTTTACTGAAGAGGAAACAAACTCAGAAAAGTTACATAGCATGCTCTAAATTGCCTAAGTAAAAAGGTCTACTATTTGAACTCCCATCTGTGTTTCTTCCACCCTACAGGACTTCTAAGTGAAGGCACCATTTTAGGAAGATTATTTCAAAAATAGAAGGCCTAAATTTAGGTGATAGCAACAAGAATTGATAAGAAAGTTTGAAAATGAATGGAATTGAATTGGATGGTCTTTTTGCTCCTTTCTAGCTCTTACATGCATCTTTACCTCTCTAGGTTTGGAAAAAAAAATCTTTTCATCATATGATCTACTTTATATATTTTTTATTTTCAGAATTTGTAATGTGTTCTCTTTTGTGCTTTTCTATAGGTTTTAGATGGAGCAGGATTAGATATTGACTTCCATCTTGCCTCTCCAGAGGGAAGAACCTTAGTTTTTGAACAAAGAAAATCAGATGGAGTTCACACGTAAGTGATCTTTAAGTTGAGTTCCGGGGGGGGGGGGGGGGGGGGGGCGGGTCATACCAAGGGGTTATCTGCAAGGTAGGGAAATTTAGCACACTTGATGCAAACATCAGTATTAAATGATTACATATGAACATTTTAAATAGTCCTCAATAGTAGTCTATCATAATATAAAGTGTTTTCCATTAATTTTTTTCTCTTTTTTTTAGGCATTTTGTATTGATACTAAATTTTTTCTTTGCTTTGGTTAAATGAGTATGCCTTAGATGTTGCATTCAGTCTATTGTGACATTTAAACCTGTCTAGCACAACCTTTCCATTTTAAGGTATACATACCTGTTCCAGGTATCAGTCCTATAGTTTCTTGAGCTGCTGGCTATCTCATCTTTGCTCACTATTTCCTTTCTTAAAAAAACAAGTACAGTACATCTTTGTGCATATGTGTGGTGTGTGCATGTAAAAGTTTTTTTTTTTTTTCAAATCAGACCTCATTTTTTTTAGATTATTAGAAGATGTGATAGTAAAAGATCTGACCATAGGAAACCAGAAAGAAAATAACTTGTTATAAGTTTAGAGTTTGACAACGGCTATATATGCTCTCTTAATCTCATTTCTCTTTTTTCATATCTCAGCGGTGTGTTTCCCTGTTCATTCTATTATTTTACTATAGCACTTTGTTTACTCATGTTATTGCATTAAAACTCAACTGTGAGTTTACAGGAAGAAGACAAACAAATACGGTCTAATATTTGCCATAAACTAGGCTTTGCATTTTATATGCTTCTAAATTAATCATTCCAGCCCACTATGAGAGATTCTTTGATTCACTAATTCCCATTTTACAGACAAAGAGGCTCAGAGAAGTTAAATAAGTCTGCAGGGATACACATTTATTAAGAGGAGGAAGCAGGATGGATCAGAATTCTTGCTTTTTACCATACGATGCTTAGAACATCTCTGGCACATAGCACTATGTAAGTACTAGTTATTATAGTTATTGGTTTTTGTTAACCAGCATAGTTGGCATGTAATTGATAGTAAATGCTAAATAAATGTATGAATGAATGAGAGGAAAAATAATACTCTTTTCAAAGTGTTTTATTTTTATTTTTTATTTAACTTAAAACTTTTTGTTTTTTAATTTTTAAACGCTCTTTTAAGTTTTTATTTAAAAATTTTTAAATTTCTTATTCATTTTTTTATTAAAGTGCTTTTTAAAATGGCATTTTACCTGTGCAGAACTCAGAAAAAATATTTGTATAAACTATTAATAAAATAGAGAAACAGTAATTTAAAAAGTTAGTTTATATACTTGGAGCTATATTTCTTCTTTGATAGTTACATGAACAGAAACTAAAAATGTAGCTTTTCTTCAAATTTCAGAATATTGAAAATCTGTAGAATTTCTGTCATTTTTTTCCTCCAATTTTCTCCTTTCCTTTAGAGATAATTTAAGATTAACTGTTAAGGAGAAAAAAGTATCTTATTTCTTGCATGGAATTACTTCTCATTAAACCAGTGGGAGAAAAAAATGAGTTTATAAGAGTTCACATTTATTGAGTTCTTTTGATGTGCCAGGCTACTGTTCTAAGCACTTTGTATTTATTAAATTTTTTTATTATTCACCACAGCCCTATAAGGTACATGGTATTATCATTTTATCAATAAAGAAATTGAGACATAGAGCACTAAAATAAGTTAACAAAAGTTACACAGCTAGCAAACAGCAAAGCCAGGATTTAAAATCAGGCTGTCCAGTTCACTCTTAATCACTGCACCAAATTTACAAGTCTACTTTCTAAAAAATCAGATTTAAACAAAATTTTATCTTGAACTATATTAACTTTTTTTTTTGAACTATATTAACTTTTTAAAGGCAACTAAAATATCTGTTATTTCGGTGTTATGGCACCGAAGTTGTTTTTATTTCTTACATCCTTAAAACAAATAGTGTCCTTCCAGAAGGCAGGGTTAGTAAAAATGTCTCCAAACAACTGTAAACAGCTTAAGTGATACCTTTGGCTGGCACTTCCAGAAATGAGAAGTCTGTTTGTGTGTGTGTGTTTCTATACAACTGAATTAGTATCAACATAATTCACACCATAACTTACCCTTTCTGGACTATTTCTTTTCTTTTTGGTTAAGATTTTATTTATTCATTTGAGAGAGAGAGAGTGTGTGTGCACTAGTAGAGGGGAGAGGCCGAGGGAGAGGGAGAAGCAGACTCCCCATAGAGCAGAGAGCTCTACTCTGGGCTCAGTCTCAGGACTTGGAGATCATGACCTGAGCTGAAGGCAGAAGTTTAACCGTCTGAGCCACCCAGATGCCCCCTCTCTGGACTACTTATGCTCTTTATTCTACTTGAAAGGAAAATTAACTCTGTGCCATTTTTATTTGGATAGTATTTTATATCATTTGTACTAATAAAGTTCCTTTCTACTAAAAGCAGTCAACATATATTTAGAAAGAGATTAGTATAGAAATGACTATGTTAATAAAACATCTTTTCTTTTTCATACACATGCTGAAGCTCATACACGAGTCAGTGCTTTTCAAACTTTTCATTTTTTACTTTTGTCCTCATGCAACCTTTCCAGACTTTTCTGCCTTAGCATCACCCCATGAAATTTTATTTTTATTTTTTTATTTATTTTTTTCCCATGAAATTTTAAAACCAGTTTTTGTACCGTATGTATATCTGTACTCTACGTATAAAAAAAGTAGGTACAAAGCTTCCCCTTTTAATCCAATGCAGGGTTAAGAATGGCTAAATAAAGTTGAGTTAAATAAAATTAAGACTAAACAAAATTAAGGGGCACCTGGGTGGCTCAAAGCATCTGCTTTTGGCTCAAGTTATGATCCTGGGGTCCTGGGATGGAGCCCCATGTCTGCCACTGGCTCAGCGAGGAGTCTGCTTCTCCCTCTCCCTCAGCCTCTACCCCTGCTCATGTTCTCTCTCTCTGTATCTCTGTCTCAAATGAATCAATAAAATCTTTAAAAAAAAAAAAAGAAAATTAAGAGTTAAATTTGAAAGTGATTAACATTGAACTTTATATAATAGTTATAACATTTTTTTTCCTTTTAAAATTGTTCCACACTGTATTCGCCAGTATATTCTTCATGCTTCTTCCAAAGGTTAAATACATCTGCAAGACAAAGGTTGGTCATGACTGAGGAGATTGCAAGGAATGCAGACAGGCTCTGAGCAGTATTATAGAAAAGAAAGATCAATTAACATGAGAGTCAGAAAACCAAGCTTCATCTATGCCTATGATAGACTGTGTGATCATAGGCAAGTATTTTAATTTATGTGAACCTTATACTTACCTTGAAAAGGTCAATTATACCTACTTCCAAATATGATGGTAAGGATTAAAGGAACTAGAATATATGAAAGCAGTGTGTAAATTATGAAGGGGTATTAAGTCTTGGCTATTTTTTATTTATAGGATATATGTTAAGATCCAATTAAATTGCTGAGCATTTCTTTCTTATTCTTTAAGTTGGAAATAAGGGTAAAAAAGAAGCAAAGATTGGCTTAAAAAGATTACATGTTGTAGTCACAAGACTATAGAAAATAATATAAGCCACCTCGGTTTAAGCAGTCCAGTGTATTGGGAGATAAAACTTCAAAATCATTTAGAGCAACCTTTTATGAACAGTCACAACAAAAACTAAAACCTGATTAGAACCTTTTTTTGTAGTCAGCAGTAAATGCCATTAGCCTATGCAGTACTTTGCTTGTTAAAGTTGCCACAAATAAATTAGGAAACCACTTTGCCAAATTAACTGTGCCCAGGCCAATTATCTTGAATGTGAAACTAATGAGACCAAGATATAAGTTTAACTTAGATGTGAGTGGCATTTATTCAGTAAAAGTAATGCCAGTGAGAGTAAAGCTCTATTTGTTTTAGCAACTGATCCCTAACCTTTGTAAACTATGTTATGAAGATGTTCTTAATCAGTAGGCCTGGAAGAAAGCATTTAGAACAATCTATCACTGCTTTTTAAAAAAAAAGTCACTTTAGAGAGTAAACTCAAAGGGATGTTTGTGGTCATATTTGCCTATGAATTGAACTCATGATAAATTAGTGTTAATATTAAAGGTCATTGTGAGGTATCATGTATCTATGTTTTTTTAATGTTTATTTATTTATTTATTTATTTATTTTAATTTCTGATAGTCACACACAGAGAGAGAGAGAGAGCCAGAGACACAGGCAGAGGGAGAAGCAGGCTCCATGCACCAGGAGCCCGACGTGGGACTCGATCCCGGGTCTCCAAGATCACGCCCTGGGCCAAAGGCAGGCGCTAAACCGCTGTGCTACCCAGGGATCCCTACTTATCTATTTATATATATATTTCCAGGTTGCCTCTTTCCCAAGAAATAATCTTTCAATACTAAGGAAGTCTTTATATCAGCAAAATGTTCAGTCACTAAAAACCATGTTATTTCTTCTCTTACAGTTTTTCCTTTGATCCCAAAGAGAAGTACAGATAAAGACATACACTTTTTTTAATGCAGGGTAGAAACTGAAGATGGTGACTACATGTTCTGCTTTGATAATACATTCAGCACCATTTCTGAGAAGGTGATTTTCTTTGAATTAATCCTGGATAATATGGGAGAACAGGAGCAAGAGCAAGAGGACTGGAAGAAATATATTACTGGCACAGACATGTTGGACATGAAACTGGAAGACATTCTGGTCAGTATGGTCTTTTAATAAATAAAAATTATCCAGAGATATGACTGTGTGACAGGCACTGAAATAAGCATTTTCTCTGCATTATCTCATGTAATCTTTACTTAACTCTGTGAGGATTATTTATTTCCATTTTTCCAATGACAAAATTTTGGCTTGGGGAGATTAATGTAATAATCTATAGCATGCTTGCACATAGAAAAAAAGTGAGGGATCCCTGGGTGGCACAGCGGTTTGGTGCCTGCCTTTGGCCCGGGACGCGATCCTGGAGACCCGGGATCGAATCCCATATCAGGCTCCCGGTGCATGGAGCCTGCTTCTCCCTCTGCCTGTGTCTCTGCCTCTCTCTCTCTCTCTCTCTCTCTCTCTCTCTCTCTCTCTGTGACTATCATAAATAAATAAAAATTTTTTAAAAAAAAGAAAAAAAGTGAGCAGTTAACACTTAAGATGATGTATAGGCATTTTTCCCACAGCATAGTTTTTATAACATGAAATTGGATATTACATGACTAATTTGGGAACACTATTTACTCAGACCAGACCTCGCAGTTATCAGAAACTATGACTACATTCAGGAGTAAAAACTTTTAGAATATGGCTTGTTTGAATTGCTTTATACTTTATCATTAACGTGCATAATGAAATGTGCATGTGTAAGAACTTATTTGCTTATAATAATACTGGTGAGTGGGGAAAAGGTCATTACCCTCAGCCACAGGTAGATGTAATCAAATGATAGAATTTACTGAGTGGTATTTGTAAATAGCATTTATAGCTGTATTATGGAAATTCCTGCAGAAGAAATAATATGGTCATTGCAAATTAAAATTGTAATCTCTAATACTCTTATAACCTGAACTTTTCTGAAATAACGTTATTTTGATCACTTGAGGTTTATTCAGTGTCTAGGGATGCTCAGCGGTTGAGTGTCTGCCTTTAGCTCAGAGCATGATCCCGTGGTCCCGGAATGGAGTCCCACATCGGGCTCCCTCCATGGAGCCTGCTTCTCCCTCTGCTTCTCTCTCTCTGTCTCTCGCATGAATAAATAAATAAAATCTTAAAAAATAAAAAATAAAAAAATTAAATAAACAGTGTGTAGCACAATAAATGTTAGTTTTCTTACCTTTTCCACTGGTATTACTATACAAAACTGAAAGGATTAAGTTTGATTAGTATGAATTTTTACATGACAGTTTTTAATCTCACCATAATTTCCAATGTATATATCTTTTAAATTTCAGTCATATTAACTTATTCTTCCATTTTAAATTTATTTTGCCAGCAAGAGTAAAACACTAGTACTTATAAATTCTCAAGAGATATAATTCATTTACATGGTTAAAAAAATGAGCCAGATTTAAATATGGCTTAAATATTTGGAGTCCTTTTTAAAGAAAATGTTTTTCAAGAGCTTTATTTCCTTCTTTTACTTATTTATTCATGAAACACATAGGCAAAGGGAGAAGCAGGTCCCTGTCGGGAGCCCAATGCGGGACTTGATCCCAGGACTCCGGGATCACAACCTAAGCCAAAGGCAGCTCAAATGCTAAGCCACTCAGGTATCCCTGAAGAGCTTCATTTCCCCAAAATTTTGCATTGTAACAGCAAACTTTTATAAATAATTTTGTATTTGACTGTCATTGCTGTAATATTGAAAAGAACTATGCATGATCTTTTTATTTGGGAATCTGAATTCCTTATTTTTCTAGAAAATATTTGCATTTACTAGGTTACTGTTGCTTTACAAAGAAGTCCAAATAACAAATATTACACTTTGTAGTTTTGTAGGTTTAGCAGAACAGTCTGAAATTTTGAGTATAGTTTTTGCTTAAATAAGGATTTTAAGTAAGAAAATCCAGGAAAATCTGTTTCTAATATTTTCTTGTTTTTGCCATAAATACAGTTGACCCCAGAACAATGTGTGATTGAACTATGCAGGTCTACTTATACGCAGATTTTTTTCAGTAAATGTAGTACAGTACTGTAGATGTATTTTCTCTTCCTTATGATTTTCTTAGTAACATTCTCATTTCTCTAGCTTACTTTATTGTAGGAATACAATATACAATAAATATAACACAAAATGTGTGTAAGTTGTTTATGAAAGGCTTCTGATCAACAGTAAACTATTAGTAAAGTTTTTCCGGAATCAACGGTTTTACGTGGATTTTTAACCATGCAGGGCATTAGCACCTCTAACCCCCACGTTGTTCAAGGGTCAGCTGTACTTTGACATTATTTTAAATCTCAACTTAATTTTAACTTATATTCTTATAGCCCTTTTATAGGCTATATCACTTCTCTTTCCAGGACCTTACTATAAAAATAGATTTTTTAGAAGATGTACAAGTTAGAGTGTTTTATAAATATAATCTTTGAATATTTTCATATTAAAAATAGATTATACTTTTGGATATATAATATGCATATCAGAAATTGGAATATTTTCTAATTTCACTATTATTTTCTGACATAAAAAAGTTAGCTGAAAAAAAAAAGTTAGCTGTTTTGTTATACACTAAATTGGACAAGAGTGATAATATTCAAAGAAAATGAACACAATGCATTATATATAAAGATAAATACCTAGAAGCTGTTATCAGGGTTTATCTGGTTTTTTAAAACTTTTTATTTTTATTTTATTTTTAAGATTTTATTTATTTATTCATGAGAGACACAGAGAGAGAGGCAGAGACACAGGCAGAGGGAGAAGCAGGCTCCATGCAGGGAGCTCGATGCGGGACTCAATCCCGGAGCTCCAGGATCACACCCTGGGCCAGAGACAGGCGCTAAACCGCTGAGCCACCCAGGGATCCCCTTTTTAAAACTTTTTAAAGTCTTTTTCTTATGGTTGTGAGGGCTAAGAAAGATAATATATATATAAAATTCCTGACACTATGCCACTGAAATATATTTTCACATTATTTTCAATTTACATTAGCTTTGCTCCTGTTAAAGTTAACTATTTGCAACTGTCAAGTAACTATTTGTAAACAATTTAAATATATCAGGAGAACTATTACATAAACCTACAGAAGATTTTTAGGTAATCCAAGTAGTTCTTGTCCCTTAATTAAAATTGTGTTTGAATATAAAACTAATATGAATGTCTGGGTACTGTGAGTCACATGTTTAAATTAACTTAAAATTACTGAGCATTCTTTTATAGTAAAATTATTTTATTTATCTCCAGGAATCCATCAACAGTATCAAGGCCAGACTAAGCAAAAGTGGCCATATCCAGACTCTGCTTAGAGCATTTGAAGCCCGTGATCGAAACATACAAGAAAGCAACTTTGATAGAGTCAACTTCTGGTCTATGGTTAACTTAGTGGTAATGGTGGTGGTGTCAGCCATTCAAGTTTATATGCTAAAGAGTCTATTTGAAGATAAGAGGAAAAGTAGAACTTAAAACTTTAAAGTACTTAACATTGAAAAAAAAAAGAGAGAGACAGAAAAATGCAATACACTGTTACAATCAAGACCAATAGTCTTTTCTAAAAATGTTTTCAGGCATTACCACAGTGTGAAACAAGTATAATTTTAAGGTGAAAGGAATCTTTGCTTTCGTCTGTGCAAGTAATCTTATTGCTTCAGTTGTACTTAAGTGTATAACAGAAATATTTTGTAGAACATAGATATAATTGAATGAAACCATATTAATCAGCATTTTCCTAAGTTTGAAAAAATTTTCCAGCTGTCATAGGTGATTTAAATAAATGAACTTTGGCCCTAAATGCAACACCAATAATGTTTTTAAAAGATTCTCTTACCTAGAAGTTTCTTTGTAAAGGTGGCAATTATAAATTTATTGTATAATTTTTCAATATATTAAGTTCCAAATCCTCTGGGAATTACCTAATCATGGATTGGATATATCTTCAGAAGACAAAAACTCAACTTTTCTTTTCTTTTTACATATGTATCTCTCCTGTTATGTAAATAGAAGCATAGCTGTGAAAAACAGATTTGTGAGATTTCTATAACCAAATATATTTCAATTTAAAATATTAGCAAAATATTGTATACTTAGCTTAGATTCCCCAAAGGCCAACATTTTGATAATTCTTAAAAATGCTTAATTGTTACTATAATTCAACAGATTTTCTCTTTGAAATTAAATAGCTAAAGGTTGTTCAGGTTCCATAAGGACACATTTTGTCTAGTCCTTAAGTAAGATGTAGAATTTTGAAATTAAATGTGAGGGAAAATAATTTTATTTTTATATTACCTATCAGCAGTGTTATGTTAGTTTTAACATCATGACTGACTTGGATAATACATTACCAGCAGTTGTGAAGAAAATATTGCTTAAAAATCTGGGCTTTACATAAATATCTCCTTTTCTGAGTTCTCAAAATCAACAAGAACAAAAAACTAACAAAAGCAATAAGGAAGAATTAAGGTAAACCTGAGGATATCTGATCAAAATTAAGTTCACTTAATAAACTCTAAGTATCTGGAATCTGATTGATTCATAATAATGACCCGATCCTAATATCATGAGACTAAATTCTAGATAACTGAAGAAACTGTACTTGGCTAGGATTTTATTTTTTATAGTTTTATTCTGTTTTGAATTGTCTTTTATTAAGTATTCAGGTACCTTTTATAAAACAAACTCAAACTCTACTGTAAGGTTTAGCACTGGGTACATACTTTACAATTGTTATTATAACTTTCATTAAATGACCTTTCTAATCACTTTATTTATTGACATTCAAGTTAAGTATTGAAAACCCACAGAATCCCAAATATAAAGTCAATATGTGAATAACCCTGTGTAAAGTCTGTGCCATCCTTGCTTATTGCAGTCTGTGGAGTATTATTCAAATACTAGTAATTTAGCTACATCATGAATTAAATAAAATTTTTAGGTTATACACATTTGTAATATTGTTTAAGACAAATATGAGTTAGAAACAACTTAAAAATTTGAGCATAGAACCCCTCTGTACATTAGTACTGCTGGAATTCTTAATAAGCAATGATATTGAGAGAATGGTTTCATTTATTAATTTACAGTCAGAGTGGCACAAAAAGAGATTTCCCTCCTCCTTATGCCCTTGGGAAAACAAAGGTTAGATATCCCTACTCTGAAGCTCTTTAAAACTGACATGAATGCCATATATAACTGATTACCTTAACTGGCCAAGAAAATGTTTAATTAAGTGTCCAGGAGTGCCTATAATATATGCATTCATTATAAGGACCAATAATCGCCTATGAAGAGACCTTCCCCCGCCTCCTCCTGTTAAACTAATCATGAGAAGCTAACTTACCATACTAGAATAAAACAGTACAAATATAAACTACTGCATCTTTTCTAAAAAACTGTGATTAAGAATTCTACCTCTGGCTGGTTACTGTACTGTACTGATTCCTTACCAATGAATTCATTACTTTATCTACAGATGATTTATGCCACTGATTTTAAACATGTGATTCAGTAATGTCTTACCTTATAATGGCCTTATATGGAAAACAAAGAATTTAGGAATATTGAGGACAATTTTATTTTTCTAGGCACAAAATGAAGAGTGGGAATGCGAAGAATGTTACTTGTATTAAGCAAAAAAAGCATAATTAGTGAGCAAAGAACTAAATTCTTTAATATTTCTAAAGATATTAATCTGCTTCATGGCTTTTTAAATGCCAGTATTCAATTTTGAAAGTAAAATTATGCTAAAATTAATCTACTTACCACTTAATGGCTGATTTTGTCTTTGGTTTTTAGTTACATAAACTCTTAAAAGCCTAGGATTTTACTAATTTGCATTTGGGTTGTTAATGATGTCTATTCTTTGATGTGAATGTTAAGGTAAAGAAGGTAAATAATGGTTGAAAACAGCATGGAAATAAATTACAAACTGAAATGTAATTTTATGTTAAGTATGTTTATCCTTCGTAAGCATTGCTATTATGTCTTAAAATTAACAAAAATCAAATACATAGAATTGTAAGCATCCCCAAATAATTCTTTATCTTAAATTTCTTTAAAAAATGACTCAGCATGTAATAACTTTTCATTTTAAATATCACATCAGTGTTGCTCAAATTGCTTTAGAGTTCTGAATGGCCATATTAAATGAGCAATGAATACTGTTCTGAATATATATAATAAAAATCACAAAGAAAGTCTTGTTAATCTACCAGTCATTGTAAATGCTGTCTAATCTTTAAAACCTTCATTGATCTTATCTTAGTTAGCCATGTGTGCTTTTGCTTCCGTTTGAAAACCCATAGTTCTCTGCGCTTATTGTCTATCATTTTACCTTGCATTGGAGTTCTCTTTACATGTGTTCTTATTCATCTGTTGCCCAAATATGCATTTTAACTATACGGTGTTCAAAATGTAGAGGGGGAAAAATGAGGCAAAGATTACTTCTGAAAATTGGAATGCTCAATAAGCCCCTAAAGAGCTTGTTCCACTCCTCTAACCCCACCCCAGAAATTGTTTAGTCTGTAACATGGCTCTAGAATCTTAATTTTTAACCAATGCAACTTGGGATTCTGGTGTTATCTTGGGTGATACTGGAAAATCAAAATTCCTTTGAGCCCATTTATCGGTAGAAATATTTTAGATAGTATCTTAAAACTTGGTTAAAATCACATATGAGAGTCCTGTGCTTGGTGGAGGTTATTACTGGTCAGTTCCTTCATACCATCCAGACAAGACACTCTCCTCCCACAAGCTGTTAGAATTCCTTATGCACCTTTCTGCTTCTGCATTCCCATCACTTTCAGGTGTCTGGGTTTCTGGAATGTTTGTGTCATCAGAAGCTAGAGCTATGTTACATGTAATGTCTGTCTGGGAAAAAGGTACAGAATAAAGAATCCAGACCTAACATGATATTACATGAAAGAGAGCACGTTGAGGTGGGACTCTGGATCCCTGTATCTGAAAGAAAAAGGCGAGAAAATGCCAAGCAGGGAAAAATTTGGAGGTCTTCAATGTCCATGAGTCAACAGCAAAATGATCAAAAAGAATCTGTTATCCAACATGAACTCCCTTCTATATAAAGAAACTACTCCTGAATCCTGGAAGTTGTCAAGTGCAATAATTATCAGATATCAAAGAGTTTATTTCTGTATTGGATATCAAGTGGGAGGAGGGACTAATAAACCTAACCTTTCTACCCTTGCTTCAATTCTAAAAACAACCAGTAATACTATTTGTAGGAGAAAGCTTTAAGGCCACAGTTAAAAAGACACAGTTAAGAGTTCCATTTTACTGAATTCTTGCTTGTTATTCAAAACCAAATTGGAAAGAAAAACCCACAATACCATTGACAATCACTCCAAAGAAAATGACATACTTAGGTATAACTCTAACACAACATGTCCAAGATCTGTATGCTGAAAATTAGAAAAAGTTGGTAAGATTAAAGACCCAAATAAGTGGAGAAATGTACCATGTGCCATGGATTGGAAGGTCAGTTCTTTCTAAATCTATAAACTTAGCATAATTACAATCAAAATCCAGCAAGGTTTCTTTTTAAGATTTATTTTAAAGAGAGAAAGTGCTAGGGCAGAGAGAGAGAGGAAGAGAATCTCAAGCAGATTCTCCACTGAGCACAGAGGCCTCTGTAGTGCTCCATCTCACAACCCTGAGATTTTGCCCCGAGTCAAAATCAAGAGTCAGATGCTTAACTGACTCATCTACCAGGCAACCCAGCAATATTTTTTTGCAGACAGAGACAAGCTTACTCTAAAATGTATATGGAAAGGCAAAAAACTAAGAACAGGACAAAAGGATGGACAATTTTTAAAAAGAATAAAGTCTATAGTAATCAACACTATGTGATACTGGTAGAGGGACAGATATATAATGGAACAGGGATTCCAGAAATACACCAAACAAGACAGTATGGTTTTTGACAAAGGTGCAAAAGCAATACAGAAAAGACAGCATTTTAAATAGTCTATAGCAATTGGAATAAACAGGTAAAAACATGAACTTAAGAAAACTGCAAAGGTTTTCAAAAAAATTTAAAGATCTTTAGCACCATTAGATAGGGCTAGACAAAATTTTCACACCTGACAGTAAATACATGACCCATAAAAGGAAAAACTGATAAACCAGAACTCATTAGAAGTAAAAACTTTTGGGGATCCCAGGGTGGCTCAGCGGTTTGGCACCTGCCTTTGGCCCAGGGCGCAATCCTGGAGTCCCGGGATTGAGTCCCGCATCAGGCTCCTGGCATGGAGCCTGCTTCTCCCTCCTCCTGTGTCTCTGCCTCTCTCTCTCTCTCTCTCTCTCTCTCTATATATATATATATATATATATATATATATATAATTAATAATATATATTAATATATTATTAATATTTATTGATATATAATATATATAAATCTTTTTTTAAAAAAAGTAAAAACTTTTGCACCAGCAAAGACCCTGTTACAGGGTTAGAAAAAGTAAGCTATAGAAAATAAAATATATGCAAACTACTTACCTGAAAAAGGACCAGATTATACAGTTGACTCTGTGCAGTTGAAACTCGTGTTGTTCAGGGGTCAAGTACATAAATTCTCAAAGCTCAAAGCAAGAAAACCAAATCAGTTATAAAAGGGGCAAAAACCATAAAAAACATGTAGATGCCTAATAATCATATGAAAATATATTCAACAAAATGATGTTTCATTAGCTATTAGGAAAATTCAAGTTAAAACCATAATGAAGGGACACCTAGTGACTCAGCAGTTGAGCATCTGCCTTTGGCTCAGGGTGTGATCTCAGAGTCCCAGGATCAAGTCCCACATCGGGTTCCCTGCATGGAGCCTGCTTCTCCCTCTGCCTATGTCTGTGCCTCTCCCTTTCTCTGTCTCTCATGAATAAATAAATAAAATCTTTTTTTAAAAAAATGAAGTATCACTACCCAAATGGCTAATATAAACATCACCAACAGCTGAAACTACTGTAACATTTTCTGTCAACTAAATTTTTAGAAAGTTACCTGATGCTGACAAGGATGCGAGAAAAATTAGATCACATTATTGGTGGGATAAAAAAAATGGTAGTCACTGGAAAATATTTTAGCAATTTCTTATAAAATTGAACATGCATTTACCATGCAACCCAGCATTTATACTCTTGGACACATCCCTGAGAAATAAAAATGTGCACATAAGAAGCTGTACACAAGTTACATATAGCAGCTTCATATTTAATAGCCTCAAACTAGAAATAACCCACATGCCCTTCAAAGAGTGAAAAACTGGTTAGGGGCACCTGGGTGGCTCAGTTGGTTAAATATCCGATTCAGCTCAGGTCCTGATCTCAGGGATATGAGATGGAGCCCCAAGCCAGGCTCACAAGCTGGGCATGGAGTCTGCTTAATATTCTTTGCCCCACTCCACCCCCCCCAAAAAAAACAAATAGTGAATGGTTAAACTTTGGAACATCCATACCTTCGAATACTATGCAGCAATAAAAAGAAACACACTTTGGATACATGTAATATTTGGATGGACTTCAAGGGAAATGTTGGGGGGGGATCTTAAAAGGTTACAAACTATAAGATTCCTTTTATGTAATATTCTTAAAATAACAAAATTAGATAGAAAACAGATTAGTGGTTGCCAGGTGTTAGGAATGAAGGGAACAAAGGGACTGTAGCTATAAAGACAGCCTTCTGATGAAACAATTCTGTATCTTGATTGTGGTAGTTGCACAAACCTATGTATGATAAAATTACATGAACTGTATTAACACACAAATGAATGTGTAAAATTGGTGAAATCTGAATAAATTCTGGATTGTACCAGCATCAACTTTCTAGATTTCATATTGTACTACATGCAAGATGTTACCACTGAACGAAATGGAAGAGTGTATAGGGACTCCTTGTGGGTATTTTGCAACTTGTGTATATTCCAAAATAAAAATTTTAAACAAAACGGCACAGATTAACATTATACCTGAAACAGACATTATTAGAATATTGGTATATATGTACATACTCTGAGTGAAGCCAGAACAAGTGATATAATTTTTTTAAATAAAATTAAAATATTCTCAGTTAAAAACAGATTGTCAGTTTAGGTATTACCTCAATCCTTAAGATTTATTAGTAGAAAGGGGAAACACTATATATTTCAGGGAGCTTAAGGAATTGAACTTGATTGTTTTTACATGAAAAATGAAAGTCAAACTTTTTCTTTTGGAATTCTATATTCTAAAAGAGTGCCCAGAGGTTATACTACAATTACGTGGTTATCAGAACACCACCATGGGAAAACCACACCAATTTCCCAATGTTGCACAATCAGCATTCCGTGTATCTCAACAGAGAAGCTATCCTTGACTTTCTCAAAAGCTGATTTTTCAGTGGACAATCCAGGCATACAAGTATATAATGAAACTCTTGAATACAATGATTGATTGATTCCTTCACCCATAAAGGTAACAAAGTCTTTTTGCTGTAAAGAACCTTAGGATTAAGGCCTATATGGCAGATATGACTGAGAAGCACCTTACTAAATATAATACAAACTACTATAAATTCTTAAATGCCAAAGGGGCATAAATTTAAAACCAAATGTGCTAGGAATTACTACTCCACTATCCTTGGACATACAGCAAAGGAGAAAAGGATGAACAAAAACCAGTTTGTTGAGACAGGGGAAGAGGGAAAGTTTAGGTAACATTATGCAAATAGCCCACATATATTATCAAAGGAAGGGTATTTTCTATTTGGCACCCAAGGGAAGATGAGGATGCAGTACCTTTATATCCTCAAAGCATCTAATACAAATTAAAATTACCACAATATTCCAAGTTAAGGTTTAATTTTTAGAATGAGAAAAATTTGAGCATTATTGTCTAGAACTTTGTAGAACACAAAAGCGAAAAATCTGCCCTTTAAGAGTTGACAGTGTAACTGGAGAGAAAGGCTAGTATTCAGGACTCATCAATTACTCATTTTTCTTAGCTTTGTCATTCATTGCTCCAAGAATTTAGCTGGGATCCCTCAAACTTGGGTTGTGTCCTTCTCATGTACTGTTTCAAAGCATTGACCACGACGTATCATAATTAATGCATACAAACCCTCTACCAGACTGACAGCAGAGAATATATAGGTCTATTCTACCCACGCATCCAGCACAATGCCTAAAACACAGTCTGTTAATGCAATGATGCCCACTGTTTAGAAATGAGATGTGAAGTTTCAAAACAACAGGAATGATCTTTTAGTAAAAATAAATTAAAAGTCTACAAGTTTAAGGCTATGTGTTTTTTTTTAATTATTTTTCTTTATTTATGACAGTCACACACACAGAGAGAGAGAGAGAGAGAGAGAGAGAGAGGCAGAGACACAGGCAGAGGGAGAAGCAGGCTCCATGCACCGGGAGCCCGATATGGGATTTGATCCCGGGTCTCCAGGATCGCGCCCTGGGACAAAGGCAGGCGCCAAACCGCTGTGCCACCCAGGGATCCCTAAGGCTATGTTTATATAACATTATCTCTGGACTGTAGAATGGAAGATTTTTGGAGTTCTGTGTTACACAAATTTCTTGCTAAATCATTTTTATATCACAGAAAATAATAAAGCTTTTCCTTTTAGGGAAAAAAAAACAGTTGATAAAAGATTTCCTCCCTTGTTTTTCTGATCTACCATATCCAATGCCCTTTTCTTCTAAACCACAGTTTCATTCTCTTAGGACTGCTTCACTAATTCTCTCTTTTGGTGCCAGGTGAGAAACAACTTGGGGTTAAGCAGAAAAGCAATACTTTAGAAACATTAGCATTATTAACTCCAAGTCAGGGTTAAATAGGGCAAAGGAGTACTTTTCACCCCAGGTTAGAATAATTTCTATCACAGGAAAATCCAGTATTGAATACTACTGCAGGTTACATATAAAAGGGAGAAATTACTTAGTAATATTTAGTTTCCATGGTCCTCTAATACTGGGCTATAGCAAAATGGTTGTCATTTTCTAAACCTAAACTTACACTTTTCAATACCAAAGACAAAATAGTGTAGTTTTTCAGTGAGGTCAGATTCAGTAACTACTTGAATATTTTGAAGTATTT